TTAAAGAATTTAGTGCAAAATCCTATTATCTTTTCACAAACCTCCTCTAAAGCACAAGAGATGCCTAAGAGTTCAGGTTTAAAAAGAGAAATTCTGGGGCTAGCATGTGGCACAGTATGTTGAACCCCCACTTGTAAGGCCAGTACCTCATACTGGAGTGCCAGTTCAAGTCCCAGCTACTCTGTTTCTGATCCAGCTCCCTGCTCATGCACCTGGGAAGGCAATGGAAGATGGTCCAAGTCCCTGCAACCCCTGGGGAAGACCAGGATGGAGTTCCTGGCTCCTGGCTTCAGCCTAGCCATACCTGGCTGCTGTAGCCATTTGGGGAGTAAATCATTGCATGGCACATCTCTCACTCTGTTTTTCCCTCTTCCTGTTGATCTTTCAAATAAATATTTTTTTCAAAAATAATTTCCTAACTAATAAATTATTACAAAATATGCAAAAACATACTGGCAATTAAGTAGGTTCTGAATTTTATAACTAATAACTTCAATGGATTAAACACAATGTACATTAATTCTGATCATTGAGCTAGGCTGATCATAGTTTAAACTTTAAAATTTGAAATCTGAGCATGATTAATTCTTATAGTCAGACACAGCTTTAAGTTAAGTATTTTCCTTGATCTTTAATGTTTCTATTGCATAAATATGAGTGTATTTGTGTATTGTTTATATCAACTATGTAAGATATCCAAAAGTAATTTTACAGTATAAAAATTATAATTCACCCATTATTCACCAAATAGAAATAAAAATTATCCCATTTGTGAAGATTTCTCCTAGAACTCTGTAACAAATAGCAAAAATCTGTTCCTTGTAGCAAAATAGAAAATGGTCTTTTGGCACTAGAATCAAGAGTATGCTTCTATATTTTAAATATGTCATATTAATTTAACTTTTAAAAATAATGTGGTATTAGTTCTATCATGGAAATATCCATAAATTAGCAAAACCATATCTAAAAATATTTAAACAAGATAAAATATGTTTTCAAATATTCCTCATGTTTAAAGTGTTCAAGAAGTTTGGCAAGAATAATGTCTTCTATGATGTACACAGGTAATAATTTTATATTATTTTGATTCACATCCTAGATTTTTGTGGAAAGAGTATATTTATCAGTATATTTAAACTATGCCAATTAAAATATTATTTTTACTGAATTTGGTTCCTAAGAAGGTATATATTTTTGTTGCCTATTTTTATACACTGTAAGCCCTTTTTTCATTGTACAGCTAATCTGAAATTATGAAATTAAAAGCCATTGTAACAAGGTATGAGACACTACAGTTTGTATTTTAGATGACATTTTTTTCTAATGTCAACTTTCACTACTAATTAGCTATATATTTTGTATAAGAAAACATCTTTCTTATTATTAATGATGCTTTATCAATTAGCAAGGAAATTCAGAAAAGTTAAATGTACATTAGCTCAACTCTTATTACAGGGAATTTTGGCTTCAGAATATTTAAAGTGCTTTGGGAATGTTCAAAAGTAACCCTGTGTGTGTGTGTGTGTGTGTGTGTCTATGTGTGTCTGCCTCATTGCTTTACAAATGCATTTTCTTCAGTATATCTAACACATTTTTTATTCAGTCATACTTACAATGTACATAATTTCATGATAAACAGTGTCTAAGAATTCTAGGGGCAGGTGTTTGTCACAGTGATTAAGACGCTGCTTGACAGGCAAGCATCACAAATGAGAGTGCCTGGATTTGAGTGTGGATCTGCTTAACATTTCCAAATTCCAACTAACGCACACCTGAGGAGGCAGAACGTGAAGGCTCAAGTATGCGGGTCCCTGGAACCTCCATGGGAGACCCAAGCTGAGTTTGGGTCTGATTTCATCCTGACCCAGCCAGGGCACTTATCGGTATTTGAGGACCAAAACAATGGCTGCAAGGTCTCTATCTTTGTCTCTGTCTTTCAAATAATGAAAATTTAAAAATATTTTTTCTGAAAAGTATTTGTTGAAACACATATAAACTAAACACTTTGTTTGGTTGCGTCTTTCAATTTCTTCACAACTGGCCTGGCGCAGTCCTGGTGATTGTGGCATTTTTTAAAGAGTAAACCAAATTTTAATTAGCATAGTTTATGGTAAATATACTCTTTCTCTTCACAAAATCTAGGCTGTGAATCAAAATAATATAAAATTATTACATGTGTACACCCTAGAACACATTATTGTTGCCAAACTTCTTGAACACTTTAAACATGAAGAATATTTGAAAACATATTTTATCTTGCTTAAATATTCTTAGATACGGTTTTGCCAATTTATGTGTATTTCCATCATAGAACTAATTGTCTTCACAACAAATACTTTTAAACATTATAATGCATTGTTCACCTATTGTATTAATTTCCTCTGTTTGCTTATACAAAGTGAAAAATGCCACCTCATTCAAAATTTACATCTCTCCGCTAATACTCATTTAGTAGTAAGGCTTGGCATTGTGGTCACCTGCATCCTATATGAGTGCTAGTTCTAGTCCAAGCAGCTCTATCTCTGATCCAGCTCCCTATTAATGTGCCTCGGAAAGCACTGGAAGATGGCCCAACTATTTGGGCTCCTGCGCTCAAACTGGAGATCTAGAGGAAGTTTCTGGCTCCTGGCTTTGGCCTGGCACAGTCCTGGTGGTTGTGCCATTTGGAGAGTAAACCAACAGATGGAAGATCTCTCTTGTACCCTCTCTCTCTCCTCTCTGCAATTCTGGCTTTTAAGTAAACAAATAAATCTCTTTTTTTAAATGTCATTTAGTATCAAAGTAGAGAAAGTAAGGAAAGTGTGAGTAAAATACATATTTATAATTTTCATGTATCACTAACGGAGCTCTTACTTTGAGGCATGCTATCTGCTTCTATTACCTCAATAGCATTTTTAGAGTATTTGAGGGGGCACTTTATGTTCATGTTACTGATAAGAAAACTAAAGTTTAGAGAGACTAATTTAAACCGAAAGCTGCAGTTAAATATCAGTAGGACAGATATACTTTCTGATTCTTCAACACCTACTGCTCCTAAAAAAAAAAAAAAAACTGGTCTCTTTTGTCTTTAAAAAATAAATTGAAATAGGATTTTCACATACCTTCTCATATATGTTGGCCACAGATGATTTCAATATTCACAACTGAATATGAATTAATTTAACACAAAATGTAAAGTGTCTTCAAAATTTAAATTCAGAAGAATCACGAAATTAATTTTATTAGACTTAATTTTATAAAAAATATTTGGAGGCTGGCACTGTGGTGTAGCAGGTAAAGCCACCACCTGCAGCCCTGGTATCCCATGTGCCAAATCGAGTCCTGGCTGCTCCACTTCCGATCCAGCTCTCTGCTGTGGCCTGGGAAAGCAGTAGCAGATGGCTCAGTCCTTGGACTCCTGCACCCTCGTAGGAGACCCAGAGGAGGCTCTAGGCTCCTGGCTTCAGATGGGAGCAGCTCTGGCCATTGTGGCCAACTGGGGAGTGAACCAGCAGGTGGAAAACCTCTCTCTCTCTCTGCCTCACCTTCTCTCTCTGTGTAACTCTTTCAAATAAATAAATAAATCTTTTTTAAAAATTTGTACTATAATAAGTATTTTAAACTATTGGAATATGCTATAAAGATATTTTTTTTTCCGCTAACAAGTCTACTATTTTCCACCCTTGTTTCTTATCACTATGCACTCTCCTATATATAGAATTTTGTTGGGGTTCAGAAAACAATGCCCCAAAGTATGGTGCTTTGCCATGGTGAGTGCTGTGAAGTGAAGGACACTGGAAAGGCCTCGGAAGGAGCCTCTGATCTCTTACTCTTCTTTCCTGCTCCCTCTATATCCCAAAGAAGGTCACGTAAACTAGAATTCTCTTTTCTCCCAAGGTGGGTCATAGAAACTAGACCCCCCCTCCCCCCAAGACAAACAATCTAGAAATGCAATGCTAACCTTCTCCTGCCTTTCTGTGCAGGAGTTGGCCATAAAGAAATTCTCTGACCTAACTTTTCTGAGAGTAGGTTATGAGCCCTTCATTTCAGAAGGGGTCCTGCCCCACACCTGGGGGGAATGTTGCACAGACAGGACAGACACAATCTTGGGGTTGGGCATCTGGAGCAGCAAGTTAGCCACTTGGGACACCCAGATCCCATATATCCGAATGCTTCCGGCTAATGCATCTCGGGAAGCGGACAATGATGGCTCGAGTCCTTGGCCCCCCATAACCCCCTTGGGAGACCCGGATGAAGTTCTTGCCTCTGGCTTCTGCCTGACCCAGCCCCAGCTCTTGATGTCATCAGGGAGTGATCCAGCACATGAAAGATCTCTGCCACTCTGCCTTTAAAACACAAACGAATAAACAGTTTAAAAAGATTGTACACGACTGCTAATGTTTAAAAAAGAAGAATCAGCCCTGTGTTTCCTCAGTCCCTTACCAATAAGTCATCTACTTTTTGTTCGATCCGTTTCCATGTGGTTGCCCATTCTTCACTGCACCCTAACCATTAAAACCAGACGTTTTTACCAGGTCTTCATTTCTGAAGTTCTCCATGTCACCTGGAACTGTTAGCCTTTTCTCCTGGTAACCTTCTGTTCTAAGAGTGCCTCCATAACTCTTAGAATGGCTGAGGATGGCATTCTGCTTCTCCTATTGTTATCACACACAACCCTATCCTCTTCACTACCTAGTAGGCAAAGGCTTTCTTAGATGTGATCAACTCTCATTGTTCTTTTTTGCCACTAGAATCACAATTGAGACTTAAATCGTTTTGTGGGCCTTTGATGTAGAAATAACTGTCAATTTCTTAGAAGCTTGTAAACAGCCAACTATGCATGGATTAAGCGCTAATGTCAAATCAAAAATGTAATAAAAATAGAACGTTTACACTACTTAATCTTGATTATCTTTAAAGATAAAAAAATTTAAAAACAAAGTCAAATATTTAAAATGTGAGATACGAACTTACATGTACATATAGTAAAAGAAACGAAGATTCTAACACACTTCAAATAATAGAATAAAAGGGAGGCTTTTAGCTAATTTCTAATGTAATATTTATTTAACAATCCAAAGGATCACCTATAGACAGATACCTTAAAAATTCTCCGGGGCTAAACAAAGCAGTATATATTAGATATATACAGACTGAAGTATGGGGCAGACACGAACTCTTAAATTATAGCTATCATCTTTTTTTTTTTTATAAAAAGGTGGTATTTTATAGGATAGCCAAGTAATACCGACTTAGAAAGGCAAATACTCAAAATGTTGGCCACATTAAGAGGCAACAGCTGGAGGTTTTAGGAGTTTGAAGTATAAACCACAAACTCATTCCACTCAAAACACCAAAACTGGGGAGAAAACACAACAGGCCCTTACGCCACCTCAAAGCAGGAGTTGCGAGGTGCTCACTGGCACCCAGTTCTCGCTCAACCCAAACCAGCCCCAGCGTGGCCAGGCTTCCCTCCACAGAAACCGGCGGCGGCCAGGACAGGTGCTGTGTTCACGGGGCGGGGGAGCTGCCCGAGGACTGGCGCTGGCCGGCTCCACGGCCGCGGCCAGCACCAGGCGCCGCCCGGAAGTGTCCGCGGGCAGGGACGCGGGGCGGGAACGCACAGCCGTCCAGAGTCTCCGCGGGCGCGGAGGAGGAGGGGCCCCGCGAAGCCCCGCCTCCGCCCGGCGCCGGCCTCGGGCTACAGCCAGGGCCCCGAGGGCTCCGGGTCGGGGTCCCGCAGAGGCGGCTCCTCCTTGTCCGCGCGCGGGCGCGGTCCTCGCTGCTCCAGGTGCAGCTGCAGCAGGGCCCGGCGGTACATGGCTTCGAGCTTCTCCAGCCGAGCCCTCAGGGCCCTGGGGCTCCCCGCCTCGTCCTCAGGGTCGCCGCCTCTGGCCCTCGGGTTCGTGCGGGCCTCTTCGGGGCCTGGGGTCGCCTCCGCGGGCGCCCAGTCGCCGCCCTCGCCTGGGAACCGCAGAGCCTGACGGAAGAGGCTGCGGTTCTCGCGCTTCAGCCTGCGATTCTCAAGCCGCAGCCGGGCGTTCTCCTCGCGCAGCCGCGCGTTCTGCCGGTCCCGTTCGTCCCGCGCGCGGATGGCCTCCAGGTGGCTCGCAGCCAAGTCGGCGAACCGCTCCTCCAGCTGCTGTCGGGCGCCGCCCGCACGGCCTCGCCACCCCACGCCGCCGCTGTTGCCGCCACCCCCACGAACTCGGCCCGGGCGGCCTGGCCCACGGCGGTCCCCGCCGCTGCCGTCCCCGCCGCCGCAGCTCCCGCACCTGGTGGCGCCACCACGCATGCGCCACATCGGTCCCGTCCCAACGGCGCGGTGGGGCCGAGGGGCCGCGCGCCGAGGCGCGGGCGAGTTCGGGGCCCGGCGGGGCAGCCCGGGCGGCGACGGCGGCGGAGGAGGAGGAGGAGAAGAGGTGGCGGGCGGTGGCTGCTGGCGTGAGGCCAGAAGAGGCCGGGAATTTGCCCGGGCTGAGGCGTGTCCTGTCTCCTGTGGTGGAGCTGTCCCCGGGGGCCTGCTGTCTGCGAGCCCCGAGCACACACACGGCCCCCCGGGAGCGCTGGGCTGGTCAGCGCTCCGGCGGCGCGTGGAGGCGCGAGTATCCTCTGCTGGCTTCTGCCAGGGCGCTTCCGTGCAGGCCTGGGCACCACGGGAACCCGCCGGCCTCGCCCCTCTCTTGAGCGCAACCGCCGGTGGTTACTTGGCTGTTTTACATGGCAATCCCAAATCGAGTGAGAGTAACGTGATAAATTCTGGGAAAAAGCTGTGAGGCAAGTTGGAAAACTGGAGGTTACTTACTTTAAAACCGGACGGTTGGACCCATCCCTGAGCTTAATAAAACATTGATCGCGGTTGGGGATGAACACCTGTCGTGAGGCGCGCAAGTGGGAAACGGGAGTTCTGCAAAGAGTAGAGGCAGTTCCCAAGCTAGGAAAATTTGGAGCACTGTGGAAACTGGCCTTAGTCCAGTTGCTCAGGCTGTTCCCCAAAACCTATGAAAATCAAGCTGTGCCCCCATTCACTCACGAAATTGAATACTCGGTAATTTCTGCAATGTCTTGGGACAAATGGATATGACTCACTGAGTGAATCACATGTCTCGTTTTCTGAGGGCCTCAGCCTACAAAGTCACTGGATTATTGTAGAGTAAATTAAAGATTAGGTACTGACTGACGCCAGAATCGCGTGGGAGAGAGGTGGTAGCAAGACATTACATTTTAAACAAGTTTCCAGGTACTTCTTAGCTTTAGTAAAGTCTGCAAGGACCACTGGAGAAAGCAAATGAAGAAGAGCTTATGCGAATCCCGGTTTACAGGTTTGGGGTTTTCATTGAGGAATATAAATAAAAATAAGTAGGTGGGAAATACAGTTAATATTGTGTACTTTGATTTTGCTGAGTAAGAGCCTAAAATCTCACAAATAAAAATCTACCCTCAACTGTCACTGTCATTTCGTGGAATAATAATAACAATAACAACAACAACAACATGGAATTTCAGAATTTCAAAAGATGCAAATTTAATTTCTTGCAAGGCCATATTTTATCTTTTAAGATTTTATTTGAGAGGTGGAGTTACAGACAGAGAGGAGAGACAAAGAGGAAAGACTTCTGCCGCAATGGCCAGAGCTGGGTTGATCTGAAGCCAGCAGCCAGAAACGTTATCCCCGTCTCCCATGCGGGTATGGGGGCCTGAGCACTTGGGCCATCCTCTACTGCTTACCCAAGTACATTAGCAGAGAGCTGGAGCCGAAGAGGAGCAGCTAGGACTAGAATTGGCACCCATATTGGATGCCAGTACCACAGGTGGTGGCTTAACATGCTATTCCACAGTGCTGGCCCCCATATTCTTTAAAAAACAGATTTATTTAGGGGCCTGTGCTGTGACCAATTGGGGAGTAAACCAGGGATGAAAGACTTATTTTATTGTTTGAAAGGAAGAGTTACAGAGAGAACTATTTGCTGATTCACTTCCCAAATGGCCTCAAAACCTCAGCCAGGCTGAAGCCAGGAACCTGGCACTACATCTGGGTCTCCCATGTGGGTACAGGGCACTACATCTGGGTCTCCCATGTGGGTGACAGGAGCCCAAGTATTTGATCTATCTTCTGCTGCTTTCCCAGGCAGGTTAGTAGGGAGCTGTAGGGAAGTGGAGCAGCCAGACTCAAAGTTGTGCTCATATGGCATGCCAGTATTGCAGGTGGCAGATTAACCTGCTGTGCCATAGCACCAGCCCCAGAAAGGTCCACATTCGCTATTCCCATTAGTCGTGGACACTGAAAACTTTGTTAGGATGGGAACTGAGTTTTCTATGGACTGTTGAACCAAGATTTTTTTTTCTTCTTGGTACAAATAGGGAATGCGGGAGAAAAATGGTCTGGTATGGAAGGAACAACAATTAGTTCTCATGTTTAGACATGTCAAATTTTAGGGACCTGTGGAATAAGAAGGTAGATATGCCTCGTAAACTGGAGAGAACACTGCATTAGAGAGATTCTCTTACCACGTGGATGTTATGAATTGAGTACTGTGTTTTATTTTTGTTCAACTCAACTCTCCCTACCCTCACATTTGTAAATCTAGTATTTTCTCTGCACGGATTCCTGTATTAAAGTTACTATTTCCCTTGTAGAATGTCTTCTAGATTTTTGTAACTAATTAATGAATCATAAGGAGGCTTCCTAAACAATTTGGGCCCTGGTTGCAAGAGAAGGACCTTTTGCCTTCCTCACTATGTTACACCCAATCCCTAAGTACACACTTTTGTCTTGATAACTTAATGAGCTAATGTGAAATGCTAGGGAAAGTAAGTAAAACTGATTAAGCAGAAAAAAGATCCAGTAAAATTGCCATTCTGTTTGACATATTTTAATAGTAGCTAATCTGATTATTTATATATGCTCCCAAAAGGCAGAATCCATTAGTACTACCACTGTGAGTCAGCCAGATTGCATATATAACCATTTTATTAAAGGAAGGGAGGAAGAATTTGAGAGAAGGAGAAAAGGGAAGAGAGGAAGGGAAGGGGAAAACGGGGAAGAAAAGAAAAAGATTATTCAAACAAAAACTGTGAATAAAGTATGAACATTATCTTGCCTGGTAATAAACACAAGGTCGCCATATGGTTATGAGTAGTTTTATCAACCTTCCTAAGTAGAAGATAGAGACAATGTAACTTCTAAGTTGAAAGAGCCTTTGAGACAACAGAGTGACTAAAATAATCACAGAAACTTGCTGATCTGTATTTAAATTAACTCAGAATAACATATAAAGAATTGTGTATCTGAAGATGAACATTGGATTTGCTTCTAAAGATGATACCACGAAAGTTATTAAAATACAATGTCCTTCACACTATAGTTTTTAGTGATACACATATGAAAATATTAATAGGCAAATGATATATGTTATTTCATATATATGAGAGCTAAATTAAAAATAGGGAGAAAAATTATAGAACTGAAAAAATTCAGGATGAGTTAATGGGCCAGAATAATCTTTGTAAGACGAAAATATAGAAAAATATAGAAATATAAGCTATTAATTAGAAAAAATAATCAAGATACCCATGCTTCCCTCAGAATAGGAGCTCCCCAGCAATAATACTGCTTGTTTGCCAGATGGAAGAGTTCAAAGGTTGTAGGGTGCTCCTTCCCTGACATCGTATTTATCATCATTTAAGTTTTCTTACTCACAACAAAGAGGTAAGGATTCTCCTGTAAAAACTTAAGTTTTAGCAACAAAAATAATTTTAAAACTCTAGTTCATTATGAAATTTGGAGTGAAAGAGCAGAAAAATACAAGTAGGTCATTTGAAGTGCTTGGTTCTGTCATTTCCTTGAATTATCGATCCACTGCCACCACCACCAGTCCTCCTTTCCCATTCTCCTTGTTCCCCCTTCCTCCTCCTCTTTATTTTATTAAGGGAACTGTTTATAAGCATTTTCTTCTCCAATCCTCCCCCCACATACCCAGTGCCCACTCTCTAATCATTCAACAACTTAAATCTCACTTTAAAAAATTATTCTGCCTTCTATCTTAGGTAAGAGGAAAAAAAGCGGAACAGATGAGGTTACAGTCATCATACTTTTTTAAAAAACATTGTTGGCTCACTTGGTTAATTCTCTGCCTACGGCACCAGCATCCCATATGGGCGCCAGGATCTAGTCCCAGTTGCTCCTCTTCTAGTCAAGCTCTCTGCTGTGGCCCGGGAAGGCAGTGGAGGATGGCACAAGTCCTTGGGCTCCTGCACGCGCATGGGAGACCAGGAAGAAGCACCTGGCTCCTGGCTTCGGATTGGCGCAGCACCGGCTGTAGCAGCCATTTGGGGAGTGAACCAACGGAAGGAAGACCTTTCTCTCTGTCTCTCTCTCATTGTCTATAACTCTATCAAATAAATAAATAATTTTTTTTTTTTGACAGGCAGAGTGGACAGTGAGAGAGAGAGAGACAGAGAGAAAGGTCTTCCTTTGCCGTTGGTTCACCCTCCAATGGCTGCCGCGGCAGGCGCGCTGCGGCTGGCACACCGCGCTGATCCGATGGCAGGAGCCAGGAGCCAGGTGCTTTTCCTGGTCTCCCATGGGGTGCAGGGCCCAAGCACTTGGGCCATCCTCCACTGCACTCCCAGGCCACAGCAGAGGGCTGGCCTGGAAGAGGGGCAACCGGGACAGAATCATAAATAAATTGTTTTAAAAATTTATATGAAAGGCAGAATTACAGAGAGAGAGAGAGAGAGAGAGAGAGACAGAGAGAGGTCTTCGATCCACTGATTTACTCTCCAAATGACCACATGGCCAGGGCTGGGCCAGGCAGAAGCCAGGAATCAGGAGCTTCTTCTGGGTGTCCCATGTGGGTTTAGGGATCCAAGCACTTAGGCCATCCTCTGCTGCCTTACCAGGAGCATTAGCAGGGAGCTGAATTGGAAGTGCAGCGGCTGGGAATCAAACCAGCGCCCATATGGGATGCTGGTGCTACAGGCCATGGCTTAACTCACTATGCCAAAATGCCAGCACCCATCATATTTCTTAATATAATGCCTCTATCCAACAACTTTGTAAATATTGCAGTTGAGAAAAGCTGTATCTGCAAATTATAATGAGACTGGGTTTTGCCCTGTACTTTATATGTATGTATATCTCAAAACCAACTTTGAATGACAGCTGTTGAATTTATTGTCCCTTTTCCTCTATCCTCCCAATAAAGGACACTTGCTTGAAGAGGCCTTGAGAGGTATGTGTGATTGTGTGTGTGTGTGTATGTGTTTATGTGTGATGTGTGTTTATTTCCCAAATCCCATTTGATTTCTGAGATTATTTTATTGCTATACTCATTTAACTCTCATTTCCCCATTTTGAATCACTTTCCTTTTGAAGTGAGTCATACAATAAGGTAATTTGTGGCATCTTCACAATGGAACAAGTCGTCCT